GAAGTGACCTCACAGTCACATTGCTCCTGCTAGGGCAGGAGATCCTGAGGCAGAGCTGAGCTCATCAGTGCATTCCCACCCATCTCCTCCTTGTGAGTTGATCAGATCCATGGCCCCTCACATTCATCTTTGAATGCCATGTGACTGCACAGCAGCCTCACGGTTCCTGCCCTGCCCCAAGGGCCTAAAGTTAAGGCTTAGGAGAAGGATTGAAGGTGAGGAAGTTAATGCACAGAAATGGGGGCTTTGGGTGTTAGTTGTTCATTTATGGCATTAAGGACTAGAGCTCACCTTTCTGGATTAGAGATTAAGCAAAGGTTTAGTGTTCTGCTGGTGGTGTCAGGTCTGTGGTTAGGGTATGGTCAAGCTCTGCAGTATAGGGTTTTGTTTAGGTCTGCAAGAAGACGAGGGTTAAATAGAGCACTTTAATGCTAGTGTTAAGGGCAGGCATCAAGGCGAGCAAGAATGTAAGCATAATGGAAAGTGGCTATGGACTAAGTTTGGCTTCAAGGGATATTGTGATCAAACATTAGAGTAGGGTATTCCTCTCAGGGTGTAGAGCAGCATTTATGTTTAGGGATTAATGTTACAGGTTAAAATAGGCTAAGGGCCTCACATGACTGCTTTAAGTCAGCATTAAGTCAGGATCAACATTACCTCAACCTCTTTAAAATCGTAATTCTTACCTCTTCCAAGTTGTTATCTTCTGCTATCCAAGCTCCTCCTCCCTCCCCCAAATCTCTCATCTCTCCTGGCCAGGTTTTCCTGACTTCCTGATATCAGCCATCTTCTTAGGGGCAGTTTTCTGATGGCTTTCATGAATTTAGAGTATCTGTCTCACCTCTGCTGGCTAGTCCATGTCTGAGAAAGAAACAGCTCCTAAGCCAGCCTGGAGAAAGACACCAAGGTCTGTAGGAGCACCCTGCACAATGTGCCCAGCAGCTCTGCAACACCTCAAAAGTTCACTTTCTGCCTATAACTTTTGGATCTAGAATGGCTGCTATGGACCCAGGGTAACTTCTTCCAAGCTCCCATGCAGGCTTTATGTTCCCCCGGGCATCAGGGAGGCAGTGGCCCCCTCTGTGTAGAAAACTGAAAGCAGCCCTGAAGGATTAATTGGGCAAAGATGAAACCTCTGACATGACAACACATGACAAAAGAGTGTAAAAGAGTGTAATTATTAATAGTTTCTAAGAGATGAAGATATGGAGGTGGCAATAAATTTATCCTAAGTCGGTGTTATCCAATAAAGCAAAAGTATTACCTTAAACCAGCCCCCAGAACCGATAAACAGCCTGACATGGAAGACAGTTAGTAATGTGCTATACAACACAATTCTGAAAACAAGCACAACAGACCTGAGATCAAAAAATCAACATTGTAATCAGCAACTTTTAAAGTGATCTAATGTTTATAACAATTTACTTTTAAAACACTGTGGTCGGATCTGTTGTCTCAACCTTTGTGCTCCACAAAAGGCACCAAAAAGATTTGCTGTGGTTTGACCTTGCAGGAAGCTCAACACTCCAGTGATATTCATCCAGTGGGATGGAGGAGAGAACTGAGAGGAAACAAAAATGCAAAAGATCGTGGGTTGAGATAAGGCAGTTTATTAGGACACAAAAGGAATTATAATAATTATTATTAGTAGTATCGTTGTTGTTGTTGTTAAATGTTAATGTTATAGACACTAATAGACTAAGGGCATGATATTTTTGTGTGCATATCAAGAGATAGGAAAATCGATGGTGATTAATTGGGAAGTGTCTGACCTGAGCATAACAGACATGGTATGGAATGAGGGGTAGCTATTGTCCTAGTTTTGACTAAGATAGTTTTTTGTTTGTTTGTTTTTGTTTGTTTTTCCTAGTAGCTGGTATGGTGCTGTGTTTCATATTTACAGAATCACACAATAGTTTGGGTATGAAAGCACCTTAAAGATGACATAATTCCAACTCTCCTGACATGGTCAGAGACACCTTCCACTAGACCAGGTTGCTAAAAGCTCCATCTAACCTGGCCTTGAGCACCTCCAGGGATAGAGCATCCCTACAGCTTCTCTGGGCAGCCTGTTCCTCACCACCCTCTGAATAAAGAACTTCTAATTTGCATTTACCCTCTTTCAGTTTAAAACCATTACCCCTAGTCCCATCACTACTCTCTGATGAAGAGTCCCTCCCCAGCTTTCCTGGGAAGTACCCAGGAAAGGAGACTAGAAGGCCACTGTAAGGTCTCCCCAGAGCCTTCTCTTCTCCAGGCTGAACAACCCCCAACCTGTCTTCAGATGAGAGGTGTTCCAGCCCACTGCTCATCCTCATGGCCCTCCTCTGGACTCATTCTAATAGATCTGTGCCCTTCTTGTGCTGGGGGCCCCAGAGCTGAACGCAGTACTCAAGGTGTGGCCTCACCAGGGCCAAGTACAGAGCAACAATCATTTCCCTACTTCTGCTGACCACAGTAAGAAAACTCTTGACATTTACAAAAAGAAGAACTTAGTCCTGCAACAGAAGAATAACCCTATACATCAGGGCAGACTGGGACCCTGCTGAGTGAGCAGTGCCCAGGAGGAGGAGGGCCTGGGCACCACGATGGATGCCACAGGGCAATGGTGCCTGATCACCGGGAACCAGGCTGGCTTCATAAAGAGCTATCTTATGAGATGTTTGTGTCCATGGCTAGGGCTGTTGTCTTTGCCACTGAGGCCTATGAGGAGACAGCTAATCACTAAAGCACCAGAGCCTGATTGAATCCTCGCCCACCTATGAACGAGGCAGGGGTCATACAATTATCCTGCACTTGTCCATGCACATCCCCATCTCCCACTGCCCCAGGAAGAGCCCTGAGCAATATGTGAAGGGAAAGGATCTCCCTTCCAGGGGCCGGGGGTCAAGGCTCAGCCCTTGTGCTTGGTGAAATACATCCAGGTTTCCTACAGATCAGTTTCACCTTCATATTGCCTTTGTCTACTTGTCCTCACTGCCTCCAATGTTCTCTTCTAATGAGCTCCAAGGGAGGCTGTGTCAGTGCTGGCCCTCAGGGGGACACTCCAAGAAACCTTCACCTGACTTGGACTTGGAGGGATTTCTTCAATTTTCTCTCAGTGCCTTCATTTTGAGGTCTCATCAAAAAAGCCACCAGAGGGGTGATTACAGTGCTTGGGCTGGGCCTCTGCTGTTTAGCTGGGCCAGGCTCCTGGGACAGAGGAAACACATTTGAAAAAGACCCATGATGGAGAGAGACAGCTCTGCCCAGGAGCAGCTCCTCTGCACAGCGCAGCAGGGCTGGGGGCTCTAATCACAGGTGGCACTCACAGAGGAGAGAAGGAGAGAGGGGTTGGAGGCAGTTGAGAGTTGGAGGATGCTGAGAGCTGACTGGAGGAGAAATCTGCACAGCCCTTGACAAGGTAAGTCTCTGGCTGCAGGGCCATGCAGCTGCAGCTCCTGGAAGAGTCTCCTTCTGGGTCTTGTTTCTGGGAGGCCAGTGGGCAATGCAGTAGGCTTTGAGAGTCCTGCTGCATTACACTGCAGGGTGAGGAAGTCTGGCAGGAGCCCCTTGGAGTGCCCTAAGCCAGGTGCCCCCTGTCAGCCCAGAACACCCTGCCCTATCTGGCCATGCTGGGCTCTCTGTCAGCTGCCCCTTAGCTCCTGCAGCCATGGAGGTGCCCCTTGGCCATGCCCTGCTGGTGGCAGGGTGCTGCAGGGCAGCGCTGAACACAGCCCTGTGGGATGGGGTCTGTGAGCACGGGCAGGGACAAAGAAGAGGTGGGCGCAGAGCAGCAGCTCCCGGCAGGGACAGCTGCAGGCAGCTGAGAGAGGCGCAGGTGGCCAGAAGGAGCTGTTGGCAGAAACACCATGGCAGTGGGGGATTCGGGCACCTTGCAGCCATGCCCTGCAGTGCAGACCCCTTCCCCTGGAGCAGCCCCTCCATGGCCTCCTCAGCGCATGCAGGGGCTATGTGGCAGGCATGGCCAGCATAGCAGGCAGAGCCCAGACGAGGAGAAGCTCCCAAGCTCCATCTGCCTTGCTGTCTCTTTCCTTCCTTGGCAGCCATATCCAGTTTCTTCTCACGGAAACACCTGAGCAGGATGGTCTTGCAGCTCAGAGGTGTGGCAAAGGACAATTGAGGACAACTGAGAACTGGTCTGATGGGCATAGCTGCACTGCTCAGTCTTCACCAAGGGACAGTCTGTTTGCCTCCTGGCACCCATAGGATTTCACCAGGAGTGCAGAGGAAATGTCAGGGAGTTCAAGTTCTCTCCTAAGCGTGAAAAGGGTAATTGAAAAAAAGAAAAGAAAAGAAATATATATATATCCCTGCAGCTCTGCTCTGCATTGAGATGAGTTTTTTGCAACAACACTGCAAAGCTCATGGATGTGACAAGTGGACGGCACCTGAGTTTCCCCCATGTTCCCGCTTCCCTCCTGCGGCACAGCGGGAAGGACTCCTCTGGAGCCCACAGCAGCCCCTGCTCCCAGTGCCACTCTCAGACAGCACCTGCTGCAGCTTAATCAAGAGACCTGCAGAAAGGCTGTCCTGCAAAGAAAGAGGCTCTTTTTGGGGGTGCTCTTAAGACTTGCAGTAGGTTATCCTGAGAGAAGTCTCGTCTAACTTTGTTCTACTTTCCCCTCTTCTCAGATGACACTGAAATTCAGAAAATGCCGAACATCAGCTCTGTGAGTGAGTTCCTCCTGCTGGCATTCGCAGACACATGGGAGCTGCAGCTCCTGCACTTCGCGCTCTTCCTGGGCATCTACCTGGCTGCCCTCTTGGGCAACGGCCTCATCCTCACTGCTGTAGCCTGCGACCACTGCCTCCACACCCCCATGTACTTTTTCCTCCTCAACCTCGCCCTCCTCAACCTGGGATCCATTTCCACCACTGTGCCCAAAGCTACGGCCAATGCCCTCTGGGACACCAGGGCCATCTCCTATGCAGGATGTGCTGCACAGGTCTTTTTCTTTCTCTTCTTTATAGCAGCTGAATATTCTGTTCTTACCATCATGGCCTACGACTGCTACGTGGCCATCTGCAAGCCCCTGCACTACGGGACCCTCCTGGGCAGCAGAGCTTGTGCCAAGATGGCAGCAGCTGCCTGGGGCAGTGGCTTTCTTGATGCTGTCCTGCACACAGTTAATACATTTTCTCTGCCCCTCTGCCGAGGTAATGAGCTTGATCAGTTCTTCTGTGAGCTTCCTCAAATCCTCAAGCTGTCCTGCTCAGAGTCATTCCTCAGGGAGGTTGGGCTCATTGTAGTTAGTATCTGTTTAGCATTTGGCTGTTTTGTTTTCATTGTGCTGTCCTATCTGCAGATTTTCAGGGCCGTGCTGAAGATCCCCTCTGAGCAGAGCCAGCACAAAGTCTTTTCCACGTGCCTCCCTCACCTTGCAGTGGTCTCCCTATTTATCAGCACTGGCATGTTTGCTTACCTGAAGCCCCCCTCCATCTCCTCCCCATCCCTGAACCTGGTTGTGGCAGTTCTGTACTCAGTGGTTCCTGCAGCCATGAATCCCCTCATCTACAGCATGAGAAACAAGGAGCTTAAGGATGCATTGAGGAAACTCTTTGGATATATGTTTCTTCACCATTAATAACGGGCCCAAAGTCTGAACAGTCCTAACTCAATTTTTATTTTTTTTTCTGAATATGTGTTAGAGCAGTCTTACTTTTGTACTATTTTCTGAACCTTGTGATTTTCATTCAGAAATGCTATTCTTAGTATCCTGTGTTCTATTTTATTTTTGAACCAAGTATGTCATGTACTTATGGAACTGGGCTTCCTGTTCAGATAAAGAGAGCAAAGAATCCAGCAGAAATGCATTGGTCTCAGCTTCCGTCCCTTCCCATCTTTTCTGGAGCTGGGGGAGCAGCCCCAGCACGCAGGAGGGGCTCAGGACCAACAGCCCAGCTGCCACATGGAGGAGCAGCATTGGTGGTCCTTGGTGCTGCCCCTCACTGCCCATTGGGCTCTGCCTCTCTGCTACCTTCAGGTCGGGGCTGCTGCTTCCCTGGAGTTGTGGCCATGGCCAGCAGCAGGACCTGATCTTTTCACATCTACTCTCTTCAGGCTTCTACGTTGTTCTCTTGTACTCCTGTATTTGTGTTAGCCCTCAGATTTCATGTACCTTGGTGAAAGTCCTGTTATCTCTGCAGTGGCCTCTCTGCAATATCTCTGAACACCTCTTGCAAACCTGGTTTCAGGAATACACCCAAGGAGCTGCTTCCTGAACAGACCTCTTGCTTTTCTGGGCCTCACAATGGATCAGAGCTCCAGAGTCATCAGTGAACGACCAAGGCCTGGACTGGGAGCTGGCCTTTGACTTATCTGCTTGGGACTGTCCCACTTGTGCTGGGGCTGATTGCAAATGGCATCTTGGAGAGGAATGTGGATGTGCCAGGAGATGTCAGTTGATCTCCAGGGACAGTGTGCGAGTATGGGTTGGTAGAGAGTTGTTCCTCATCTAGTGAGTGATGATACAAGGTACAGCATAGAATCATAGAATCATAGAATCTCCCAAGTTGGAAGTTACCCACAAGGATCATCAAGTCCAACTCCTGGCACTGCACAGGTCTGCCCAAAGGTTTAGACCATGTGACTAAGTGCACAATCCAAACACTTTTTAAATTCAGACAGGCTTGGTGCAGTGACTACGTCCCTGGGGAGCCTGTTCCAATGTGCAACCACTCTCTCGGTGAAGAACCTCTTCTTGATGTCCAGCCTAAACTTTCCCTGCCTCAGCTTAACACCATTCCCACGGTGTTTACAGAGAATAGACCAGCACCTGCCTCTCCACTCCCCCTCGCGAGGAAGTTGTAGACCGTGATGAGGTCCCCCCTCAGCCTCCTCTTCTCCAGGCTGAACAGGCCCAGTGTCCTCAGCCGCTCCTCATATGTTTTCCCCTCCAGGGTCTTCACCATCTTTGTCGCCCTCCTCAGGACACCCTCCAACAGTTTAATGTCCTTGTTGTACCGTGGTGCCCAGAACTTCACACAGTACTTGAGGAGAGGACGGACCAGTGCAGAGTAGAGCAGGACAATCACCTCCCTTGACCAACTAGCAATGCCGTGCTTTTTGCACCCCAAGATATGGTTGGCCCTCCTGGCTGCAAGGGCACAATTCTGGCTTATATTCAGCTTGCTGTCAACCACAACCCCTAGATCCCTCTCTGCAGGGCTGCTCTCCAGCGTCTCATCGCCCAGTCTGTATGTATAGCGGGGTTGCCCTGTTCCAGGTGCAGGACCTGGCACTTGCCTTTGTTAAACTTAATGTGGTTGGTGATCGCCCAGCTCTCCAATCTGTCCAGATCTCTGTGCAAGGCCTTCCCACCCTAATCAGAGTCCTCAGCTCCTCCAAGTTTGGTGTTGTCGGCAAATGTGCTCAAAAGACCTTCTAGTCCTACATCCAAATCATTTATAAAGACATTTATAAAGCATCCCAAAGGAAAAGCTGACCCTGAGGAGCCGATGGGTTAAGGAGGGCTCTGCCATGCCTGCAGGGGTTTTGAGGAGCCAGCAGGCAAAGGCACCCAAGAGTCAACTGTGGTTCAGGACAGCTACTTTGAAAGCTCCTGAGCTGGATCTAGTACACCACTTGCCTGCCCTTTCAGCTCTTAGAGATACCCCACGGCCCTGCCAAGCACTACCCTGTGCTGCTGAGACACCAGGGCAGATGGAAAGGGGCTCAGCAGCAGAGAGCCCCACTGACTTGTGTCTGCTGCCCACCCTGAGCAGCATGGGCACTGGAGAATCCCCTGGGGGTGCCAGGGCATCAAAGCCCCCTGGCTTTACAGAGCAGCACCACCAGCTCGGGGCTCAGTGGGGTGCATGGGGAGGGAAGCAGCAACAGCAGGACAGGTCAGCACAGACACACTGCCCTGGGAAAGTCTCTCTGGGAGCAGGGATGGCCCTGGGGAAGAGCAGGGCAGCATTTCTAGGCATACCCAGAGGCATAAAGGAGACAGAGAAAGCTCTTTGTGCAGGTACCTGCCTGGGCCAGGCTTCTTGTGCCGGGGCTGTGGTGGCTGTGCCCAGAGCCCTGCAGCAGCCTGCGTTGGGCTCTGCCCTGGGGCCAGCCCAGCCTGGGCTGCTGTGCTGGGCTGGGCTGGGCTGGGGAGAGGGCAGGGAGCTGGGGAGAGGTGGGCAGGGTCTGGGCTGGACTGGGCAGTGCTTGGCAGAGGGCAACAGCAGCATCAGGGAGCGGTGGGAGCATGCATAGGAGGGCTCCCAGCAGGGCTTGGTGCTGCAGAGCCAGGGCTGCACGACTGGAGCCCAGAGCTTCAGGGGCAGGGGAGAGGAGGCTGCTCCGGGCCCTTGCTGGCCTGGGAAAAGCAGGAAGGGGGCCCAGGGCTCACCGCAGACTACCAGGACCTGCAAGGCGGTCATGGAGCATCCAGGGCCTGGCTCTGCACTGTGGCCAGGAGCCCTGCCTGCCCTCTTCCTGCCATGCTCTGTGCGCTGACTGCAGCAGAGGGGACCCCCAGCCAGCCCCTGCATGGGGCTCTGCCACCCACCTCGCCCCAGCCCTCTCCAGTGCCCTCCTTGCTGCTCTTTGATGCAGTCCAGGACCTCCCAGTGCATGCCAGCCAGCACATCTGCTGAGGGCCAGTGCGGCTTGCTGTAGGGGCAGGGAGCTCAGCATGGCCCTTGCAGCCCCCTGCCCTGGGCCTGCTTCTGCCCTTGGCCTCGGCCCCGGCCTTGGCTCTGCTGGCAGAAGCGCTCTTGGCATGCGCTTCCTGGCCTCCCCTCCTCCCCTGCGCACAGCTGCTGCACACTCAGCCTACTGGCACAACCGTGTCCTCACAAGCAGCACCACCCTTTGGGCTGCTTCACCTGGCTTCCCCCACCCCACTGCCTTGCCTCCTTGTCTCTGCTGGGCCCCACCGTCCACACCCAAATGTGTCCCTTGGCTGGCAGCTCCCTCCCCCTGTCCTGTGTGATGACTGAGCCATAGGACATACTGCCTTTAGGTGTTGTAGTTGTTATAAATGGCTCAGGATTCAAATTAGGATTAAATGAAAAATAGGATTTATTAAAAGAATATAAAGGAATAGAGGTAAGCAAACAGCGCTGGGTGCACCGGGAGTCTCCGCTCCACCAGGACGCACACCAGTTACATCAAGCAGCTGATTTTTATGCACCTAGACTAATACATATTCATTACTACTTCTAAAAAAAATAGATTATTATAGTTAGCTTCCGGGGTCCAGTTCCTCCTACTGGAGCATGCGCATCAGTCTCCTCTGGGGGTCTCTAGGGGTCTTTCATGCTGAAGGCTCGTAGTCTTCCTCTCACCCTTTGTACTCACTCGGCACTATTCCAAGTTTATGGAACACTCTCTACAGGTCTTGTCTCCCAACCGTCCTTCAGCTTCTTTTTTCTTCCTCTTAATCTCTTGGCCCCCCTGGCCAGATACCAAGGATCCTCATAGTATCCCATAACAGTCACTAGTTGTTATCAGTTGTTCTGAAACTCCCAGACATCAAACACAAACAGCTTTCTTATTTGACGCTTCACGAGTAATTAAAACATTCTTCCCCAGCCATTCACAGACACATCAGTGTTAAGTTAATCTCGAAGAAGACAGGAAAAAAGGCTGTAACTGTTAGAACTAGAAGTCAGGAATAACAAAAGCAAACAGGTTCATAAATTTAAGGAGTGTTTTCTGAAGACGTGATAAATTGACTGGAATGAGGGGGAGACTGGGACACACTGCATCTGTGGTTCAAGAACTAAATTGCCAGTGCAGGGCCCAGAGGCAGACAGGATTCAAACAGAAATATTCTTTATGGACACGAATTTATGGACACAAATTTATGGACACAAATTGGAATTGTTAAAACATTCCTCACATAGTGTTTGTAAATCCACATTGGTGATGGCACAAAAAGACAGTTCCTTCACCAGTGGTCTACATCCTTCTTCATGTTAGGCCACAACTGAATGTCCTTCGCTATTTTTAGAGTGTTTTCTTTATCTCACAGTTTAAATGGATTAGGTGTCCTTGATTAATCTGAGGCAAAATGCAATGCTTTTTGCCTTCTGCCACTACAGCACAATGCGTATGCACAATACTCTGTGCATTGACCTGATGGGTCATTTCACATTTTTTTCTTTCATACCCATAATTTGAAGGGGACAATTACCCAAAGAGGGGCAAGCTGATGGGTTCTGTCTCAGCCATTTGAAGTGTCCTGTTCTTGAGTCTTGCAGCCTGAATTTGCCACAGGTGATCCAGGATGGTAAATGGATGTTCAGCTGTCTACTAGGAACAAAAGAGAGTATCTTGAGTTCCCAATGGCCATTTCCACTTTGGGTTAATCCCAAGAACCCAGTGGACTGGGGTGTTCTTTCTGAAGGAGTTTCCTGTGCTGGCCTGGGCTGCAGTTACAGGGACAAAGACCACTGCTGGCAGTGGAGGTCCTCTGGTATCTGCACCTGGCTCCATCTGAATCCTCCAAAGGGCTCTGGTGTCTTGCATGTCCTGGTTGCTTATGTTCAGAATGCAAAGCTCTGCCTGAATACCCAGTAATTTTTTTAATACTTAAGTAATAGAGTAACTACTTATGACTTCAAATGGTTCAATCCTTTCCAT